TTTTTTTTTTCTTTTAAAAAAGGTAATAAATCGAAATATATTAAAATATATTAAATCAAACTCGTAATTTTGTCACATGTCAACATATTTATAATTGCTATAATAGTATGTATTATGTAATATATAATGTGTAATTTGTGGTAGAGTTTATTTAGTTGTACTATTACACAGAATATAAATCTCACTGAGTTACTGTTGTTCACAAACTAAAGAAATGAGAGATAATTTCTGTTTTGTCACTTATTTTATTGCATTTCTATGTTCTTGAATAATAATACATTTTTAACTAATTTGTAATATCGTAAGAATATCGTTGTCACAAAAATACCCTGAAATATTGTGATATCATTTTACAAGTGCTACCATACCGTGCTTGCATTTGCTCAGAGTCAGGGTGCATGCCTTCTTGTCTTTTTTTGTCCTTCAAAAGCAACTGTCAGTAGTGCCGCATCTGTCCCACTGTTGGATATAGGCCTGTATTGTTCAACTGAACACAATCTTCCGCAACACATGGTAAGTTATGCACATAATGTTTCTCAGCCTCTCAGTTCGCTTTCTAAGCCGTATTTTTTTTTACGACGCTCTAAAGATTAATCCATCAGAGACACACATAAACTTTTCTTGCTGATTATAGCGGCATGTATACCTCCAGCACTGTAACTTCAGCCTGAGCATGCTCACAATGAAAACTTTTACCAACTTACTCTCTGCCAGTGTGACGGTGGTGGCGGCGTTGACTGTAACAGGTAAAGTTATCTCAGCATCCGAGTCTCCTGCAGGTAAGCTGATGATAGTGGCCTCCCCCAGGAGGTTACAGATCCTCTGCTGCATCGCAGTGAGGATGACGGGAACTGGAGTGCAGTCAGCGGAGGTTGCCTCTATAGCAGCCCGCGCCTGGGCGACTTTCCGCCGGACCTCCGTCTTCATGTCAGACCACTTCTTTTTCACCTCGGACAACTCTCTGGGACAGGTGGTGACGGCGTTCACCTTTTTCAGGATATCTGCCCACGCGTTATTCTTTGCCATGTGGGTGACTCCAGCATTGAAGTGGTTAACCAGTGTGTGCTTTTGTTTCTCTATTTCTTCCACAATAATTTCCACCTCTCTCTCCGAAAAATTCATTTTTCTCTTTTTCGCGACCGATGCCATAATTGCAGAAATTCCTCTTTTGAAGAGGCACTTGTGCGTATAGTACGCAAAAATAGTAGGATTTACTCAATTGATGTGCGCAACGTAATGGCTTCCAGAATCGGCTTCTTCTTCCTACTAACAACGCTTACGTTAACTGGGCGTGAAGACCCGCCTACTGACACCCTATTGGCTGGATGTCTCGCGGTCATGCTATATTGTCTGTGACTATTGGCTGAGTTAAATGCCAATACTCAACTAGCCAAATAAAAACAAAATAAAAATTCTCACTTTGTATCACAGCCGTAGTTGATGAATACGAGTTGGTGTTATTTTTTTCTTCCTTTTATTCATTTCAACATTTCAATAATGGCAGCAACAAGCAACAATAACTTGTTATAAAATGTAAAATGAATATGAAATTAAAAAAATTAAAACATTTATTTTAAAATAGAAAAAGCTACATGTATTTTTAAATAGGGATAAAACACACTTTGTTTGTGCCATTTTAAAGATGCATTCTGTCAAATATGTGTATCAAGTATGTATTACAACAAGAGTAACTGCTTTTTACCCCTAAGTTATTCTGAATATTGGACACTGTATTTCAAATGTCTACAGTGAAATGACAGCCAGATGTCCTTAGAGGCACTGTCACAGGTCAGCGAAGTACAAAAAAGGGATATAAACTGTACATTGGGCCACACTGAAGATGGGCACATAAATGAACATCTACTTAGTTGTCACTCTGATTTCTGATATATGTTGATATTACTGTTATATGTGCAGGCAAAGTATGTTAACTCTTTAATCTCTTTCACTACCATCATTACTGTCTTTGAAAATGTTGATTTATACTTACAAAGGTAGGTAGCTGTTTGAGATGTCCTCCCCCATCACACCTGTCATGTACACACTTTCCTTTCTCAGCATTGTTGACCTAATCACAGGAGTAGGCCAAATACTTTTTTATATACCACTAAATGGACATAAATTCAAATTAAAAAATAAATCAAAATACTGATCCTATGGTTAAAGGTAAAGATGAAGTGGTTACAGCAGTGGCAGTATCATTGCCTACTAATAGTTGTAAAAAAAATCTTTACAAAAACATGACAGATTATATTTTCCCACCAAATTGTTTATTTCATTACATGTAAAATGACTTCATCCATATGGTTTCTGCTGGGATTTTTCCACTTAAACACTACTCCCTTTAAATCCTCTGATTTTGGTTTAATACAGGCCCAGTGTTTAGGGACTGTTCTTTTTTTGTCAGAGGAATGGAGTTGCTGGTTGTGACTTAATTTTTGTTTCTCTTTTTTTTTTTTGACCCTTCCCAAGCTACAACTATTTTTCCTTGAGCTCCCCTGGAGTGTTGGGGAAAATGACCCTCCCTTCACCATGAACAGACCCTAACCATAACTTTTTATATTCATAGTAGAGCTGTCAAAATAATGTCTTAATTTTGATTAATTTATCAGAGAAAAAAATAACACCTTAAAAAATTAACACTGAATAATTGCGTTCCATGTTGCCCTTTGATCCAGAGCGTCACTGAAGGCCACACATGATGGAGGCAGATGAGGGTTGGGGCTGAAGCCTATCCTAGCTGATATTGGGCAAGAGGCGGGGTACACCCTGGACAGGTCACCAGACTACTACATGGCTGACACATAGAGACAGACAAACATTCACGCTCACATTCATACCTACGGCCAATTACTTTACAATTACTTTCACCAATTACTTTAACCTGCATGTCTTGGACTGTTGGAGGAAGCCGAAAAATAGCCGCGCTGACACAGGGAGAACATGCTAACTCCACATTGAAGTGCCCCAGTGTGAGAAGTCACACACAGACTTCTTGTGCCAGAAAAGAAGGAGATGAAAGAGGGATGGGAGACATTTCCTTCCAAACCTGTGATTTAGGATCAGCACTCAAATGAGCAAATGTAAACCATCATCTGTTCTCCACCTGCTACAAAGACACAGTGTGATTTCAAAAGCAGACGGTCACAAGCAGAAAGTCCATCATGTGAGACTGCAGTTCTACCAGAGATATACAGACAGGACAGCATGCTGGTTTGCCTTTTAATGAATGTCTCCTTCCTTTTATTACAATACTTTCCACAACATATATTTAATTTAATATGATGAGATCCTGCTCAGATTGTTCTTCTCACTGCCCAACGTGTTTATTCTTCATTATAGTCAGCTGAGGTTTTGCCTCAGCAGTGTTTGCAGCTGACATGTACAGTGTCTCTTTATCCTATACTGCATAAACTGCTGCTGATGAGAAAACAGACAGTGTCACCAGAGGAATCTTTGTACGGGGACCCAAAGAGTTCAAAAGCAAATAAATAAAATTAACAGTAATATGAATAAATTTGGCAAAATATATACATGAAATAATGAAAAACTCATCTAATTATTATGAAATCAGTAATACTTTTTAAAATGATTTTACATTACTTTATAATGTAATTTTTCACGAGTGTTTCCATCACCCCCCTAACCTGTGAGCCAATCACATGCCCCCTGCCTCTTAAGCAAGCCACCTGAACACCTGCTACCAGATTTAGTCAGTTAGCTCCTAGAGCTAGAACAACAACAGTCCTTAAGTATGTTAATGAAAAACTAGAATTACTGCCTTGTGGTTGTATGCCTCAGTGCACCAGTAAAGTTTCTCTTACAGTTTACATCCATGTCTGTGAAAACATGGATGCTTCACACACATCTTCCTCTCTACAGAACAGAGGGTCTATAAAATCAGCACAGTTTCAACGTGGACAACCAAGATTAGTGTCACCAATTCAGTATCTGATCAAATGTCTCCCCTTCTGTTCCTCAGATATGACAGTGAGTGTTTTTGCAGAACATCATGACGTCACAGTGAAGTTGACCTTCGCCCTTTTGGTTATAAAATGTCATTACTTCATCATTTTATCCTGTTAAATATTTGTGTGAAATTTTGTCATACTTAGCAAATGAATTCTTGAGTGATACCAATAGGCATGTTTTGTAAGATCACAGTGATCCTGACCTTTAACCACCAAATTCTAATCAGTTTATCTTTGAGTCCAAGTTAACAAGACAACAAAAAAAAAAATCCCTCAAGGTATTCTTGAGACACCCATTCATGAGAATAAGATAGATGCAAGGTCACAGTGACCTTGACCTTTGACCACAAAAATCTAATCAGTTTAGTCTTGATTCAAATTGGATATTTGTGCAAAATTTGAAGAAACTCCCTCAAGGTGTTTCTGAGATATTACGTTCACAAGAATGAGACATACAAGGTCACAGTGACCTTGACCTTTGACCACCAAAATCTGATAATTGTTGAGTTCAATTTGATGTCTCTGCTAAATTCGAAGAAATTCCCTCGAGGCATTTTTGAGATATCGGGCTCTCAAGAACAGGACAGATGGACAACCTAAAAACATAATGCCTCTGGCCAGTTATCGCCAATGCGGAGACATAAAAAAATCAACTATGTGGCTGCTGCTGTAAACAAACATTGGACACAGACACAGTTATTAAACTGTGTCTGTGTTAAACATTAAAATAAAAACGGATCTTGAAAAAGGGAATTTTTAAAAACGTCTAATAAAATAAAAATGATGACAAAACATTTCATAATAATTAGTTGTGTTTTAATAATTTCTTCAATTATTTCACAAAATGTTGGTTCGATTAAATAGTTTACACAATTTATTCATATGATTTTTATTTTTTTTTCTGTTTAAGTCAGAACTGAACACTTTGGGCTTCCATATATGTGAGGCTTTGAATTTTCAACCATATCAGAGTTGCCTCTAGCTCTCAAAAACAAACCAGATTATCACCTCTTTTATTCTGAGAAGACCACAGATGAGTCTAAAATCTTAAGGTCACCTAATGTTATATAATCAACACAAGTAATAGATAACAAATTCAGTCATGAATCCTCTTTTGTAAAAATAAATACATAAATACATCAATAAAAAAAAAGACAAACAGGAATTAAAGCAGAGTACCTTAAAGTGCATTCAACGCTCCACAGACTCCACCTCTTCTAGTGTTTAAGTGCATTTATGTAAGGGAGGCACACAAGGCACTCATGGGAATCTGTGTCTCATGTGACACAGGAATCAGTCAGGCTGAGAGTGCTGCCTCTGCTCCGATATCCTGCCACGTGACTTAAAGGACTATTTATTGACATCATACAAGAATGGAAAATGTCTTTAGCCAACAAGCCTGTGAAATATTCCTTCCAGCTGATAATGCAATGATATATATCCTGGTGGCTCATGTTGAATCTATGGAAAGGGAAACTGGTATAAACATGAACATATTATAACTGATAGACTACAGGAATTAAGGAGGTGTGTCGCACAGAGGCCTCTGTACACATTTTTAGGAGGAATACTACCATACAAACGTCTAACTGTTATTACTGAAAAGATAAGAAAGCACTGAAACCTGTCATGGACGCTGATGGAGTGTACTGTGTCAACTTAAGCAGTTGGTAATACGACACAAGTTTTGGGATCAGATATTTCCTATGTGAGAACCCACAATCAGTCCCTTAGCAATACTGCCTCAGTGTAACACTGTTAAAGGAATAGTTGAAATTTTTTGAAGTGGGGTTGTATGGGGTACTTATCCATCTTCATTGTATTACCTACAGTCCATGTCAGATGGCACGCTCCCTGTTTGGAGAAGCAGGCTGGAGAAACACCACCACAGAAGCTAAATTATGTTCTGCTGTGGACTGGGGCAACAGTAAAGTGTATTTTTTACACTTAGAAAAGGCCTGCTGCAAAAAATCAATATGAGTTTAAGTAGATGCAATATTGAGAATATACTCAGCGCTTTACCTTGCTGTCAAACAGCTCCTTACTTAAGCACTACACTTTCTCAACCGTAGAACTTCGGTATTCCTGCGCATGTTTCTCTTTAAGCCCATTCAGTCCCTCTACAAACGTTCTTCTGTATACTGTGGTTCATAAAGGTAACCTCCTTTCTCTGCAGTAACAGTAGTTTCTCGTTGCTATCATAATCTGTCAGGGTATATTTTCTTGTATTTGTTGTCTCACCCACAATCCGCTAAAAGTCTGACGGAACCGCCAATATGTGGCTGT